CAGTACCTAAATGGGTGACCTCTTGGGTATACTAGATGCTGAAGATTGGTCATGTGGGTGGTGTAATGGTCGTTGGGCTATATCACGTTGAATCACCGGTTCCCGTAGAATCACCGAAGTTAAACAACGCCATGCCTGGTCAGTACCCTAAATGGGTGACCTCTTGTAAATGCTGAAGATTGGTCATGTGGGTGGTGAATGGTCGTTACGGCTATATCACGTTGAAACACCGGTTCCCGTAGAATCACCAAAGTTAAAACAACGCCATGCCTGGTCAGTACCTAAATGGGTGACCTCTTGGGTATACTAGATGCTGAAGATTGGTCATGTGGGTGGTGTAATGGTCGTTGGGCTATATCACGTTGAAACACCAGCTTCCGTAGAATCACCGAAGTTAAATAACGCCATGCCTGGTCAGTACCTAAATGGGTGACCTCTTGGGTATACTAGATGCTGAAGATTGGTCATGTGGGTGGTGTAATGGTCGTTGGGCTATATCACGTTGAAACACCAGGTTCCGTAGAATCACCGGTTAAATAACGCCATAATGGTACCTGAATGGGTGACCTCTTGGGTATAATAGATGCGGAAGATTGGTCATGTGGGTGGTGTAATGGTCGTTGGGCTATATCACGTTGAATAACCGGTTCCCGTAGAATCACCGAAGTTAAACAACGCCATGCCTGGTCAGTACCTAAATGGGTGACCTCTTGGGTATACTAGATGCTGAAGATTGGTCATGTGGGTGGTGTAATGGTCGTTGGGCTATATCACGTTGAAACACCATCTTCCGTAGAATCACTGAAGTTAAATAACGCCATGCCTGGTCAGTACCTAAATGGTTGACCTCTTGGGTATACTAGATGCTGAAGATTGGTCATGTGGGTGGTGTAATGGTTGTTGGGCTATATCACGTTGAATAACCGGTTCCCGTAGAATCACCGAAGTTAAACAACGCCATGCCTGGTCAGTACCTAAATGGGTGACCTCTTGGGTATATACTAGATGCTGAAGATTTGGTCATGTGGGTGGTGTAATGGTCGTTGGGCTATATCACGTTGAAACACCAGTTCCGTAGAATCACCGAAGTTAAACAACGCCATGCCTGGTCAGTACCTAAATGGGTGACCTCTTGGGTATACTAGATGCTGAAGATTGGTCATGTGGGTGGTGTAATGGTCGTTGGGCTATATCACGTTGAAACACCAGTTCCCGTAGAATCACCGAATTTAAACAACGCCATGCCTGGTCAGTACCTAAATGGGTGACCTCTTGGGTATACTAGATGCTGAAGATTGGTCGTAATGGGTGGTGTAATGGTCGTAATGGTCGTTGGGCTATATCACGTTGAATAACCGGTTCCCGTAGAATCACCGAAGTTAAACAACGCCATGTTAAATAACGCCCTGGTCAGTACCTAAATGGGTGACCTCTTGGGTATACTAGATGCTGAAGATTGGTCATGTGGGTGGTGTAATGGTCGTTGGGCTATATCACGTTGAATCACCGGTTCCCGTAGAATCACCAAACTTAAACAACGCCATGCCTGGTCAGTACCTAAATGGGTGACCTCTTGGGTATACTAGATGCTGAAGCTTGGTCATGTGGGTGGTGTAATGGTCGTTGGGTTATATCACGTTGAAACACCGGTTCCCGTAGAATCACCGAAGTTAAACAACGCCATGCCTGGTCAGTACCTAAATGGGTGACCTCTTGGGTATACTAGATGCTGAAGCTTGGTCATGTGGGTGGTGTAATGGTCGTTGGGCTATATCACGTTGAAACACCGGTTCCCGTAGAATCACCGAAGTTAAACAACGCCATGCCTGGTCAGTACCTAAATGGGTGACCTCTTGGGTATACTAAATGCCTTGACCTAAATGATTGGTCTTGGGTATACTAAATGGGTTGGTCATGGTCGTTAATGGTCGTTGGGCTATATCACGTTGAATCACCGCTTCCGTAGAATCACCAAAGTTAAACAACGCCATGCCTGGTGTACCTAAATGGGTGACCTCTTGGGTATACTAAATGCTGAAGATTGGTCATGTGGGTGGTGAATGGTCGTTGGGCTATATCACGTTGAATCACCGGTTCCCGTAGAATCACCAAAGTTAAACAACGCCATGCCTGGTCAGTACCTAAATGGGTGACCTCTTGGGTATACTAGATGCTGAAGATTGGTGGTGTAATGGGTTGGCTATATCATGGTCGTTTGGGCTATATACGTTAAAAACACCAGCCTTCAGTAGAATCACCTTGGGAAGATCAAATTGGTCCATGCGTTGGGGTCCGTTACCTAAATGGGTGCCATGCCCTAAATGGGTGACCTCTTGGGTATACTAGATGCTGAAGATTGGTCATGTGGGTGGTGTAATGGTCGTTGGGCTATATCACGTTGAAACACCAGCTTCCGTAGAATCACCGAAAGTTAAATAACGCCTGGTCATACCTAAATCACCTGAATGGGTGACCTCGGTTTGGGTATAATGATTGGGAAGATTGGTCATCATGGGTGGTGTAATGGTCGTTGGGCTATATCACGTTGGTTCCGTAGAATCACCGAAGTTAAACAACGCCATGCCTGGTCAGTACCTAAATGGGTGACCTCTTGGGTATACTAGATGCTGAAGATTGGTCATGTGGGTGGTGTAATGGTCGTTGGGCTATATCACGTTGAAACACCGGTCTTCCGTAGAATCACCGAAGTTAAATAACGCCATGCCTGGTCAGTACCTAAATGGGTGACCTCTTGGGTATACTAGATGCTGAAGATTGGTCCGTGGGTGGTGTAATGGTCGTTGGGCTATATCACGTTGAAATAACCGGTTCCCGTAGAATCACCGAAGTTAAACAACGCCATGCCTGGTCAGTACCTAAATGGGTGACCTCTTGGGTACCTAGATGCTGAAGATTGGTCATGTGGGTGGGTGGTGTAATGGTCGTTGGGCTATATCACGTTGAAACACCAGGGTGGTAGAATCACCGAAGTTAAACAACGCCATGCCTGGTCAGTACCTAAATGGTTGACCTCTTGGGTATACTAGATGCTGAAGATTGGTCACGTGTAATGGTCGTTGGGCTATATCACGTTCCCGTAGAATCACCGAATTTAAACAACGCCATGCCTGGTCAGTACCCAAATGGGTGACCTCTTGGGTATACTAGATGCTGAAAGATTGGTCATGTGGGTGGTGTAATGGTCGTTAGGCTATATCACGTTGAATAACCGGTTCCCGTAGAATCACCGAAGTTAAACAACGCCATGCCTGGTCAGTACCTAAATGGGTGACCTCTTGGGTATACTAGATGCTGATTGGTCATGTGGGTGGTGTAATGGTCGTTGGGCTATATCACGTTGAAACACCGGTTCCCGTAGAATCACCGAAGTTAAACAACGCCATGCCTGGTCAGTACCTAAATGGGTGACCGCTTGGGTATACTAGATGCTGAAGCTTGTTCATGTGGGTGGTGTAATGGTCGTTGGGTTATATCATCGTTGAAACACCGGTTGGAATGTTAAATAACGCCATGGTCGTGGGTGAGGTATACTAGATGCTGAAGCATGCCTGGTTACCTAAATCATGTGGGATGGTGAAGCTTGGTCGTTGGGCTATACGTTGAAACACCGGTTCCGTAGAATCACCGAAGTTAAACAACGCCATGCCTGGTCAGTACCTAAATGGGTGACCTCTTGGGTATACTAAATGCTGAAGATTGGTCATGTGGGTTGTGTAATGGTCGTTGGGCTATATCACGTTGAATCACCGGTTCCCGTAGAATCACCAATGTTAAACAACGCCATGCCTGGTCAGTACCTAAATGGTCATGGGTGACCTGGTCTTGGGTATACAAGATGCTGACCTAAATTGGTCATGGTCATGTGGGAGGTGTAATGGTCGTTGGGCTATATAACGTTGAAACACCAGCTTCCGTAGAATCACCGAAGTTAAATAACGCCATGCCTGGTCAGTACCTAAATGGGTGACCTCTTGGGTATACTAGATGCTGAAGATTGGTCATGTGGGTGGTGTAATGGTCGTTGGGCTATATGACGTTGAAACACCAGCTTCCGTAGAATCACCGAATTTAAATAACGCCATGCCTGGTCAGTACCTAAATGGGTGACCTCTTGGGTATACTAGATGCTGAAGATTGGTCATGTGGGTGGTGTAATGGTCGTTGGGCTATATCACGTTGAAACACCAGCTTCTGTAGAATCACCGAATTTAAATAACGCCATGCCTGGTCAGTACCTAAATGGGTGACCTCTTGGGTATACTAGATGCTGAAGATTGGTCATGTGGGTGGTGTAATGGTCGTTGGGCTATATCACGTTGAAACACCAGCTTCCGTATAATCAATGAAGTTAAATAACGCCATGCCTGGTCAGTACCTAAATGGGTGACCTCTTGGGTATACTAGATGGAGATTGGTCATGTGGGTGGGTAATGGTCGTTGGGCTATATCACGTTGAATAACCGGCGTAGGTTAAAAAAGCCATGCCTGGTCGGGGTACCTAAATGGGTGACCTCTTGGTATACTAGATGCTGGAAGTTGGTTATGTGGGTGGTGTAATGGTCGTTGGGCTATATCACGTTGAATAACCGGTTCCCGTAGAATCACCAAAGTTAAACAACGCCATGCCTGGTCAGTACCTAAATGGGTGACCTCTTGGGTATGGGTATACTAGATGCTGAAGCTTGGCCGTGTGGATGGTGTAATGGTCGTTGGGCCATATCACGTTGAAACACCGGTTCCCGTAGGATCACCGAAGTTAAACAACGCCATGCCTGGTCAGTACCTAAATGGGTGGCCGTTTGTGGTGAAGCTTGGCCGTGTGGGTGGTGTAATTGTCTTTGGGCCATATCACTTTGAAACACCGGTTCCCGTAGAATTACCGAAGTTAAACAAAGCCGAGCTTGGTCAGTACCTAGATGTGTGACCGCTTGTTTATACCATGTGCTGAAGCTTGGCCGTGTGGTTGGTGTAATGGTTTTAGGGCCATATCACGTTGAAACACCGGTTCCCGTAGGATCACCGAAGTTAAACAACGCCATGCCTTGTCAGTACCTAGATGGGTGACCGCTTGTTTATACCATGTGCTGAAGCTTGGCCGTGTGGGTGGTATAATGGTCTTAGGGCTATATCACGTTGAAACACCGGTTCGCGTACGTTCGCCGAAGTTAACAAAGCCGAGCCTGGTCAGTACCTAAATGGGTGACCGTTTGTGTATACCAGGTGGTGAAGCTTGTCCGTGTGGGTGGTATAATGGTCTTAGGGCCATATCACGTTGAAACACCGGTTCCCGTATCATCACCGATATTAAACATCGCCGAGCCTGCTTAGTACTTAGATGGGTGACCGCTTGGGAATACCAGTTGCTGTTGTGGTGCAATGGATAATGGCACCTAATTGTTAATCGGGAAGCCGAGTTCCAAATACTGTTGGGTTTGTTATATTCACTAATGCGGAAATATTTTTGGGAAAGGTATGAATTCACCTTTTCCCCCTCCAGCTATCGTTTATGTAGTAAGACCTGTTTCATTAAACTCTTATTATCTAAAAAAATTGCGTATATTATACTTAGTTTTTTTCAATAAATGATGCATAGAAACATTGATATGATACAAAAACAACTGTTGTAGAGTAGTTTTCACAGTGGAGGCTTGTATTTCACTAAGTCGGTCCTAAATTAGGTTCGACGTACAAAACGTTAGGAACTTGAAATAAGAGTTAATGACGCAGCAATCTAGTTGTGATGGTTGATACTTCAATGTCCGACAGACTCACTCAACTTCACTGAGCTCAACTTATTATGTGTGGCAGAGTCTATTACAATAGAATAGGTATTATGGTATAACAACAACCAACCGAAATAAAACAAAATAAAGAAAATTAAAAAATACAGCGAAACAATAAAAATTTACTCGTGCTGCACGATGTAATGTTCAGTATATAGAACAGGCAGAAAAGTGACATTAACATGACGAAAGCTGGTTGACAAAAATCAATTACACGTATTTTATATTCGGTCGAGCTAGATCGGACATTCATGTGTCTAACACGTCAACCCTCACGGTCCTGTATCAAGTCGGAAGGCATCCTGTGCCATTATCTAGTTGATTAATGAAAGTAGATGCTTGGCGACCAACCTGCCTTGTGCCCTGGTTAAGTGTCCAGAGCAGTAGATCACTAACAAATTCTTCTTATTGTGTCCTGATAAGCACATTCTGCGTTCGCGTAAGATTCTAGAAATAGTAGGGATAGATCCATAGAGCTGTGATTTAGTTGGATGCTTTCTCCCAAAAATATTACGTATAGTTCTCATTAGCCGAGTGTAGGGCCCATCATAGCTAGACGGGTTTTTAATTTATGTCCAAGCTGTGGCACCATACTTTAAAACCGACCTTACAGTGACGTTAAAGAAGCTCTGTTTGAGGTTGTCTGGTTGATCAGATTTCCAGCTTACAAACATTTCATTTAAGGCAGCCAAGTTTTTAGCTATGCGAATTTTCACATCCTTTTTTGTAAAAATTTATTTCATTTCTCGGTATATAAAAGATTCGATATTTTTATTGATTCGCCCGAGAGGGTTTATATTGAGTTTTACTGGTTGAAGTTTATGAATCTCAGAGGCATTGCTATAGAGTCCAACATACTTAGCAGCATTTTATAAATGATGTAGGATAGCTGTGGTATTGGTATAGTGTCTGCTGTGACAGCTACACCCTTATGCAAATTAATTGAAACAAAACGAATAATTCCGTTATTATTTACTTTTTTCGTATTTTTCTAATGTAACATGACCCAGTGCACATGTTAGTTCTTCGTATGTCCATTACACAAAGTCGTTCCATGCTGGTTGACCACAGATTTTCGATTGGATTTAAATTAGGAGAATTTCCGGACCAGTCTATAGTACTTTGATTTGCTCACTGGTAAGTCTTGTCAGCGTGTTCGTGCATCATATTCTTAAGGCTAGAGTAAAAGCTTTCCAATCCCCCTTGGCATTGGGGATGGTAGGCACTGAACTGAACGGACTGAATACTTTTGACATGAAATTAAACCCTTGGTTTGACTGTACCACTTTGGGTAATTCAACCATGGTAAAAAAAAATTGACAAGGGTTTTCGCTACCTTCGCGTCATTTACTGATTTTACACTTTGTCTCATCTTCATATATATATATATATATATATATATATATATATATATATATATATATATATATATATATATATGGGCGTGTGTATCAATATATATATATATATGTGTGTGTGTGTGTGTGAAATGTATATATATATATGCAAATTTTAATATATATTATTTATATATTATATATGCGCGGTACTTATTGGAAAGCGCTCAATATCACTGATAGAGCTAACATATTTAGTTGGATTGATGTGAGTTTGTAACCCTGGGTTTCACGCTATTTGCGATCGTCAGACAAACTGATTAATTATTAAATTTTGGATTTATATATGGTTGCGTATATCGTGTTTTTATGGAAGTGGGAGGAAAAATGGTGTGTGTGTCAATATATATATATATATATATATTGACAATATCGTATTTTTATGGAAGTAGAAGGAAAAATTGGTGTGTGTGTCAATATATATATATATATATATATATATATATATATATATATATATATATTGACACAAATATATATATATTGACACACACACCAATTTTCCTTCACTTCCATAAAAAAAATTTTATAACACGTTTTTTATGGAAGTGGGAGGAAAATTGTTGTTTGTTTGTGTATATATATATATATATATATATATATATATATGAGGGAGTGTCAATACTCACGGTGGGATGGGCAAATTGTTGCTATTTAATATTTTTGATTTAGCACATACACTTTGTTAGATTTTGATTTTTTCAACTGCATAGTATAGCAGGAAAAGTTGGGCAACGTCTGTGAGAAAAACAGCACCATTATGCAATTCACTCCATCAGAAATTCGAAAATGTACTGCTTGGCATTCGCGCCAATACGAGTATTTCAAAGTTTTAAAGTCTCAATCTGAGGACAGTGTAGAGGTTTCGGAAAGAGTTGGACGAGTTTAATGGTAATTACGAAAGTGTTTGGAGTGATCACTAGTATTGGCGACGTTATGCTTCCATTCATTTTCCCACAGAGCCTCAGTCTCAACCCGGAAGCTTTTGAGGAGGTAGTGCTACCCTGGGTCAAGACGGTGGCTGCTGGTCGATCCTATGTCTGACAACAAAACTCTGCACCATGCCACACAAGCAGGAGAACACAGTCATGGCTGTCAGACAATATCTACAACCCTTACATTTGGCCATCTATCTCCCCAGACTGCAATCCCCTTAATTATTAGGTGTGGGACGCAGTACAACGAGAGAGCAACAAAACTCCTTGTAACACCCAAGATGAACTGAAGGCAAGTATTATGGCAGCACTCACCAACCTTATCAAGGAGACCGTTCAGAAGAGTTGCAAGAAATTCCGAAGTCGTCTGGAGACCGTGGTTGAAGCCAATGGCGATTTTAAAGAATGAATTTATTCTTTAATATTTCAAGATATTTTTGTGTAATTTTGGCAAATATATCTGTTAAAATGAATTGCCAGTTATATTTTTATTTTTGCGTTAATTAGACGACATTTCATCCATCACACCTTATATATATATATTATTTTGATTGACTAGTTTTCTTATCAACCCTTTGCAGGTTATTTAAAGCCAGAAAATATTTTTATATTGTAAGAGATTTTTTTTATTATTTTTGGGATAAGAATTGTTTAGCGATAGAAGTTTTACTAATTAACCCGTAGCTGGAGGCAATAAGAGGTTGATTCTTAATTTTCCTAATAGTATTTGCTCGTAAGCGAATATAATGAACTCAACTTTCCGATTTACAATTCCTAGCCGCTATCCATTACATCATCCGCACTTCCAATCTTACATCACCTGGTATTCTCAAGCTGTCACCCATCTAAGTCCTGACCAGGCTCGACGTTGCTTACATTTGGTTGGCGCCGGGATGACAACTTTTCAACATTTTGTTTAATTTGTTTACTACAAATGCGCTATTTCTTAACAATGAACATTACAGAGGCTTACAGGGAGTGAAAGAGAACAAAAGACTGTAGTTTTCTGTTCTATCTATCTATCTATCTATCTATCTATCTATCTATCTATCTATCTATCTATCTATCTATTGTTCCATCTATCTATCTATCTATCTATCTATCTATCTATCTATCTATTGATCTTCCTCAAAAGAGCACCTGACCACTTTTTTCAAATCATTTTTTATATAGTTTTATCCAGTTCTTCCTTTCTGGTTCTGGTATCGTCTAAAAGTTGATCGATAAAGATTCATGCTTGCCTACCTCTTGATCTTTTCCCATAACCTTAGCTGATGCACAACTTCTTATTTACTTCTGCAATGGCCACTAAACTTCACACTCCTCACAGATTGGGTCTCTCCCAAAAATTGATAAGAAAAACAGTATTGAATATCAGAGAGTAGTTAAATTCTTCTACACTATTACATTTCAAATCAAAACATAATATTATTCACGCAATAATGTACGCAAGACAGGATAATATTTTTTAGATCATCCCCGATGCAAATGTCAGAACATACACTATCGTTACGATAAACCTTTCAGAAATCTCTTATTCTCTGGCGATGTATTTATGCATTTCATTTCACCTTCTTGATAAACTTAACATTTTTAAAATTCCATATCATCTGAATACGTCGTCGGTCAGATTGCTTTTACATTATTATCTGTGACTTGCCCTTACTTCTTGGTAAAATTAGTGAAGTGGTTGTCGCCATTTCTATGGGTTCAGAGATGTTCTCCTAGATGCGTCGTAATGCAAAGCTAAAGAGAACAATCTCTTTGCTATTCAGTCAATTGCTTGGAGGCGGATAGATGGGTTCAGGATTCTCCTAAGTGCATTAACATGAAGTGAACGCAATGAACTCTGCTCGCCGATAAACGCCAAGATACATGTACATCTACATTACCTAATATTAATTAATTATCCCCCCCACACTTAAAAAAATGAACGTGACGTAACAGTTAACAGCGATGAAAATGGAATCGGCGTATCGAGTTCAAATTCAGGCTGCGGCAGTTTGTAGTCATTTCCCACTCGTACGAAGCTTTTGTAAAGGCATGAACCCATATACTTCCTCTCTTCGACTATTGGTAAAACAGACCCCCTAATAGGTTTGTTTGGTAAGCAGTTCTGTGAAAGAAACCTTTTCTTTTTATGTGCAGTGTCCTTTCAAGACGTAGGCGATCATGGCTCTCCACTTGCCCCTGTCCTTTCTGGCTCACAATAAGTTTCGTCCCTCTGCCACCTCCCCCACCAGACCACATTCTGTCATCCACTTGCTTAAGCCCGCTAAGTATGCTATGCACTTCTTTCTCTTCGCTCTTTCTCTCAATTCGACTGTGAGTATCAGATTCTTCAGGCCCTCCGTTCTCATTATGTGTCCCAGGCACTTCAGCTGCCTCCTCCTGGCGTTAAGTATAAGCCTCCTCCTTGTTTGCATCCTCTCCAAGACCTCATCCTTGCTCACACGCTCGGTCCTTGATATCCTCAGTATCCTTAAAGAGACCTTAGTAATCCAAAAGTGGGGCTTTGCTAGTAATCGAAAACTGGGAATTTTCTTGTGTTGAACGAATACTTCACCTTGTAAAATTCGCATGCAATTGAAATCACAGGAGAATCACCTTGCTACATGGGGGCGTCAACAGGTTTGAAAAGGAAAAAAAAAAAACTTATCTCCTACAAACTTACCCCCACCCCGTACTTAACCCCACATACTTACCCCAGAAAAAAAAACGAAGTTTTAAAAGAACAGTCTTCTCTTGGCATCTCTATTACTGTATGCTCCAAAGGAATTTTTTTTTCAAAAAGCTATTTTTTGAAATTTAATAATAAAATTCAAACATAAGAAACTGGATTGATAGATTTTCATTTTTTATAATCGAGAACTGACAGCAAAAATGTTAAACACTATTTCTATATTACATTTTTTATCTAACAGAATATTTTTTTATTTAAAAATGAACCAACTGCAATGCAATATTTATTATTTACCATATTATAAGGAGACATCTAGAAAAAAAAACATTTTTTTCCTTCATAAATTTATAAAAAAACATTTGAACTAAACAACAAGAATAATTATCCATTTAATGATATTATATTATGATTATTTTACAATGGCAGCCTCACCTTGGAAAGTTAAAACAAGGCTTGTTTTTTTCGCTATCTCTCTTAACCCCTGTCTGCCAACCGTTTAATCAAGCTCGTTAGGCAGGGTTTATGCACTGTTTTCCTCTGTCCCTCTTCCCTTCAATATGTCCTGTGAGTGTCAAATTTTCTAAACCTTATTTCCTGGTTATGTGCCATGCTTACGACCATATCACGTTGAAACACCGGTTCCCGTAAGATCACCGAAGTTCAGCAACGTTGAGCCTAGTCAGCACCTAGATGGGCGATCCCTTAGGAATAACTGGTACTGTAAGCTTGTATGTGCTGTAGTTTTATTTATTTATTTTTTTAAGCATTTCACCCAAAGCAAGGCAGAAGTGCCACTAGCACGCAAGGGGTTACAGAGAGTGAAAATAAGAGAAAAAAGCGGTGTTTGAGAGAAGAGGATGAAGAGAAGGACGGAGATCAAGATTAAGACATCAGAAAATGTCGATTGATATTACGTTTAAATTTTTTAAGAGGAAGGGAGCTCCACTGTCAGGAAGTGCGAGAGAAGAAGCTGTTGGAGTAGAAGAGGCGGTTGCATTTAACCGTTTCGACAGTGAAAGTGTGGGACCGAAATGCCAACCTGATAGCACGCTTAAATTCAGCTGGAACACCAGTGAAAATAGCTCGTCAAAACAGCTGCCATGAAAGTATTTGTAGAAAAGACAGAGGGAAACCACATCACGTCAGTGAGAAAGTGACTGGAGTCGAGATGCCAGAACAGGACCTATCACATTAATGGATAAAGGCTCGGAATTGGAGTTCGAAGAGGCGAGTTTCAATTCCGGTTGGGTTCGTTATATTCACTCATGCGAAAATAAGTTATGAATCCGCCCCTTCCACTCCTCTCTAGCTATGGGTTTTTTAATATGACTTCTACCAGTTAATCATTTTCATCACCAAAAAATCATTACAATCTAAAAATGTTTTCTAGCTTCAAATAACCTGTATAAGGTCGATAAACCGTAGAAAACATAAAAAATAAAACAAGAATGAATCTGATATATATATATGTAAAGTAATCCGAGAAGAAAATGTTTTTTAATCATTTCATCTCACGCAAGGCAATAAAGCCACTAAGAGATAAGGGTTTACTGGGTATGAGAGAATATGAGAAAAAAGGAAAACATTATTAGCACATTAAAGGACAGGAATTAAGAAGACAGAAAATAACGATTGATATTGCATAATGCGGTGATTCCCATAGGTGTGGCGAAAGAGAATA